CCGACGGGTACACAAGGTGAGGCCTCAGCAACCCCAGGGTTATCGGAGTACCCCCTCCGTTAGTCGGCAGTCCAGGGCACTGTGTGTCAGAGTGGATAGCAACGTGATTTTGTGACCGCCACTCCACCACACGACGGTGTGCAAGACCAAGATAGCGTACAACAACGTCGGAACAAGATCCGACGACCTTCAAGTGGCCGATGGGAGTGGCGGTTCAGGCTTCAACGACTCTTTGTGTGTGGTCGAGCGTAATTTAGAAGATCCATAACGGACATGTTTATACTTGATATTTGTCAAAGTAGATAGTAGAGTTTAGATATTACATTCGGAGCCTTGGGCTTGAATAACAGAACAGCATTTACTCTCAACCACACAAGGGCACGTCCGACTATCGGTGAGTACACGATAGTGGGCGGTGATAGCTCCGATAGACTGGATATGACTGTCGGTGAGCATTACTACTGGTGGTAGACTGTGTTCATCCGAGAGGGCCAAGAGACAGTTAGCTAACGACCTTGTATTGAGTGGAGAGTTTTCGCTGTGTATTGGAGAAGCAAGTACGCTATCCATATATTCTTACCGTTTGGAGTATAGCTCCGACCCCCCCCCCCTCCCCTATCACGTCTGAACAAGTCCGGTACTCTATCTTTATAGGGACTGTGGGGTATAATTGCGTGAAGAGATGGACACTCTAGCATTTGCTCGTGGCTAGTAGTGTTGAGTGTTCGGCTGCTATCCGGCGGGGTACACGGTACACATGGTATATACCAACCTGGCAGGGTAGGACCTGGGTCTTCAGGTTTATTACCCACATTAAAGCCTATTGAGTCTTCGTGACTTAGTCTGGTGTCGAAGTGTGATAAACACTATTGGCGTGTTCCTACACGACAATGATCTCCCTGATTACAATGTAACTTGTTGTAACAGCAGTAACAACACAACATGAATAATCTAGTGCTAGCTGGTTATTGTCAAATAAACCATAAAGGGGCCAATTGAGGTTGTACAGTTGCATGCGTTGCTTGCAGTGTTGCCGCCCTCATTAAATGTTGCCCATCGAGCAGGATATAACCTTGATCAGTGTAGACTCGAAGTAAAGGGATATTGTCCTAGACATTAAAACTGTAGCTAGAAACATGACAGGATAGCGATGCTAGACATAATATACACCATACAAACTATCACGCAAGTGTGTGGTGACACATTTTCTGTTGAAAAGAGGCATTTAGTTGCTCTTGCCAGCATAACACGCTCTTGTGTGCGCGGGTACAGTTCTCGATAGCATGCGCTACAGTGAAATGTTTGATTTCAGTGGCTACTAGCTATTTATAAGTAGTTGGTTGTGAACGAGGTTTCACTGTAGCATACGGTAAGATATCATTATACTGTATTCTAGTATGGTTTTGGGCAGGACATTTGTCCTGCAAAAGTGGTGAGAATCGGTTGTTTCACTGTCTCTATACTGAATCCTTATGTCCAGATCCATTGTGTTCGTTTATGTATAGAACATTTCGGACATTCTGTCTGAACTAAGCTTCCTCCATGGATACAATGTCCTACGAAATCTGGAGAATCATTATTTATTTACTTTTTACAATATGGGTACAAGAAACGACTGGTTGGAGGGAGCCCTGCGTAATTCACAACACGTTAGTGATAGAGGTCACGGATCTTGGAAGACGTAGGGGCTTGTAGGAGCGAAGGGAGGAGTCACCACTCGGAGAGGAAGACC